CGTTATTTCTGTCCTCATTACACAGATGGTTGCTGTATGTATTGCCCTCCCCGCAGCAAGCAAGAATGATGGTCCTGTCAGCCTGAAGACGGCACACAATCGACAATAGATTAATCACTATGGTAACCCAGGTGAATGCTCTTTTATTGTGCATGGTGTGGGAACAATGGCGCTCCGCCGTGCAGTGATAGCTGAACCTTAAGGCATCCCTCCAGATCTACAACTACAATCCCAGCATGCACTGCAAGCTGCCACATAAAGGTATTTTTGTACTGGACAGTAGTGGTGGGACAAGGTCCTTCAGCATCCAAGGAGGAAAGGTCAAAGTGCGCCCCACCATGAGCTGTGAACTACTTCAGCAACATAGGATTCAGGTTCTTGCCCTCTTTGTGTCCCCTCCTGCTGAAGTGTCCAAGATGGCCGCCTCTTCTGACTACCCCTTGGCCCAGATCTGCTTGCCGGTGCATTGGGCAAATTGCTGGGATCCCTGTTTCTGTCTTACTGGATGAGTTTGCATTTTAAGTGAACCAATACTTTGCCTATACTGGAGGGGTCCTAAGTTTTTTAATGCTTGCCCACCACCAGGATTCACAGCCAGTTCACCCAAGAAATACCTGATACTTCCTGGTATGGTGGAACGCCTGCCACTCCTCCCCCTCCCCCACAATACAGTGCTTGGTGCATAAGTGGTCAATTGCCAATCCCATGTGTCGGGGAAGCATGCACAGTCCTGTGTAAGTATCACCTTGCTAATAAAGTTGGAGCTTACATAGGAACCTTGGCCTGTCTGACTGCAGACTGTTTAATGCGGATCTTTCCACCTTTTACTGGGTCAGTGGTGGGATCTTTACACCTCTTATTTTGCACAGGATGGCCATAGAACTGTTCCACTTTAACATTTCCTTAATGGGAACCCCAGGGGCAGAAATATGGAAGTTGCCTTTGCTGATTTTTCGGGCCAAGGCGGGTTCATGACGTTGAGGTGGGTCCTTGACATTAAATCAATATGTTCCAGCCACAGCGGAGCTCAGTGGGGAATTAAAACTGCCAGGGAAAGTTTTTGGACACCTGGCCATCAAACCCACTATATGGCCAAAAGTATATGGACACCCCTCCCGATTATTGAGTTTCCAGTGAAGGGTACTGTTAATGCTACAACATACAAAGACATTTTGGACAATTTTCAACTTCCATCCTTGTGGCAAGTTTTGGGGAAGGCCCTTTTCTGTTCCAGCATGACCGCACAAAGGCAGCTCCATAAAGATATGGTTTGCTGAGTTTGGTGTGGTGGAACTCAAGTGGGATTGCAAACCAGGTCTTCTCTTCCAAGTTCAGTAACTGACCTCACAAACGCTCTTTTAGGTGAGTGAGTCCTAATTCCCACAGACATACTCCAAAGTCTTGTGGAAACCCTGCCCAGTGGAGTGGAGGCTGTTATAGCTGCAAGGAGAAGGGGTCTGGGGGGGGGGGGGGGGGTGCTTGCAGTGACTGCGGATGGCGCCGCCAAATAGTACAAAATGAATGGATGTCACCAGCACACCAGTAGTATTGAAGTCCAAAGTGTTCGTGAATTGGAATGTCATGTCACCAGAACATTGCTGGTGACATGACGTTCCAATAAACAATACTTTAGACTTCAATGCTACTGGTGTGCAGGAGACATCCATTTATTAAGTCCATATTAGGCTAGGTTCACACCTAGGCGACTCAGATGCCGAGCTGTTTTTGTGCAATTGTCACGCGTTTTCAATCACGCAATCAATGCATAGAGATGTCTATGGTACCCAAACCGCGTGACAAACAACCAAAAATAGCTCCTGCACCTTTTCGCGCGACAGGCGATTTCGGTCGCCCGACAAATCACAAAGGTGTGAGCAGCCTCTATTGACTTCAATGCGAATCTGTGTTTTGTGCGATATCGTGCGACTCAAATCACGCAATAAATCGCCTAGGTGTGCACCGGCCCCTTAATGCCCATTGTTTTGGAACAGGATGTCCAACAAGCTCATGTAGGTTTGATTGCCAGGTGCCTACAAAATATTTTGTGGTGTAAGTTGTCAAAATAGATTTTCTGCAATTTGCTGTTAACACGCTGTTTCTGGTGTAACCCGCAGCTTGGCTCTAAAAGTCCTGCTGGCACACAGGAACTGGATGGAGGACGGGGGATGACGGGAAGTGCAGATGAATCAGGTATGGAGCATGATGACATTGTGACTCTTGCTATAGATATATTGTTGAGGAGGCTTCAGCAACCTAGTGGCTTCCAGTTGCCAAAGAACAAGTCACAGAAATCCTAGGGAGCTTTGCCTTCCCAAGTTAATTGTAGTGTCTAGCCTTTAGAAATGTCCGAAACTGTCTTTAGTCTTTGTCACATCACAGGCTACCCAAAGCAAAGTCTGCTTCTGCCTCCAATCCTATGCTCAATACTGTGCCTGGGCATTGGTACACCTAGAAGGTGAAAATAGTAACTTCTAATCGTAAGATATCAATTTCATCACCTTGGAAAATCTCTTAGGCCTTGTTCACAACAAGCGCGGAGCAGGTGCAGATCCAGAGCAGTTGCAGACCGGATCAAAACTGCGTCCAATGTATTCCAATGGTATTTTGTGCTCCAGTTCACATCGCAGCGTGCAGTTCCACAGCAGGTCCAGAGGTGAAAAAACTGCAGCAGGCCCCATTTTACCTGCTCTGGATCTGCAAACGCATCAAAAACGCATGCAAATGCCTGGAACGCACTGAAAGCCCATGTTAAACTAAAAAAAAACGGCCCGGAACGCATCAAAAACGCGGCACAACCCACTGCACTGCGTGTGCAGAAACCTGAGCGGATCTGTTTTGCATTTGGTGTGAAAAGGCCTTAGCCAGTAGGCCAAAAGTTAGAAGAAAACCATATACGTTATGAGCCCCAGTCTGATGAAAGGTGGGCAGGTGTCTCTCCGCCTCTTGTTCATAAGAAGACATCTGTCCCATCATGGCCAGTCTTTCATCAAGTCATACACATGTCTTTTGCTAACTGATGTGGCCAGATTTGTGGCTCTATACAGAACTTGCAGTCTACTGTAGACATGTAAGCTGTAGAAAAATTCAGTTCGGTTCGGATATTTCATTATTTTGGGATTCGGATCCGAAATTCAATTCAGTTCGGGCTTCGGATTCGGACGAAATCTGAATTTTCGTTAGTTTCGGATGAGTTTACGAATATTCGTTGCAAATACCACAGAAAACCATGTACAGATATTAATAGTAAAGCTGAATCTCCTAGACCCGAAAGGTATTCGGGATTTGAATTTCCAAATTGTATTCGGGAGCTGCAGAAAGCTGAGGCTTCCAGACCCGAATGGCATTCGGAAATTCAGACTCCATTCGGGTCTTGAAGCATCAGTTTTAGTATCATGTATATATAAGTAGTATTCTATTATTAGTATTACATAGTATTTATATAGCGCCAACAGTTTGCACAGCGCTTTACAATATAAGGAAGACATTACAATCACAATACAATTCAAGACAAGATGGTAAGGAGGGCCCTGCCCCTGAGGGCCTATAATACGAACGAATATTCCTAGCAGCAACATTGTGACCCATACAGTATATACAAAAAACTAAAGTTGAGGCTCCCAGAACCGAATGGCATTCAGGAGCTCCTGAATGCAATTCGAAAATTCGGATTCAGACCCATTCGAATGCTATAAACCGAAAAACACATCTGATTGGCCAGAAAAGTCACATGTCCAATTCAGTTTAGTTTTTGAACGAAATTAGGACAGGATCCGACATTCGAAAATGGAAATTCGCATTTGGACGCATTTGGAAATTCGGATGTGTCTGAATTTCGGAAAATTTGTGCAAATTTTGATTCTGAAGGAAAGGAATCGCACGTGTCTAGTATTCTGCATGTTCAAGTATGATGGTTCATCGTTCCCGAATGTAGGTTCTACCTGTTCTAGAAGCTGGAGACATTCTGCTCGTCACTGCTGGTTATATAACTTGCCCATAATATTTTGCCCTTTATAAATAAAAATGGACATTGAATGGGCGCGATTTACAAAATGTGATATACTTTCCAGGCACTTCCTTGAAGCTTCAAAGTCAATATAAGGGCCAACAATCTCCGTCTCCCACCGGGAACCTCAGAAAGAAGCTTCGGTCTGCTGCTGAAAAGCACAAGCAGGATGGTAGGTTGGGGTGGGGTGGGGTGGGGGGTACTGGTGGCGAGGCGAACAAAAACATTTAAACAAACCTTTTTTTAGAGTGTGTTGTGTGTGGGGGTGGGGTTTTTTGGGGGTTCCAGGGAGCTAAAGCCGACCTGGGAAGTGATGGTCCACTTTAAGAGCTTGTACCATTCAGTTCTATTAAAGGAATTATGTCAGGAGGAATGTCATTTATGGTTTTATCGTAAAAGAGAACCGGTCTTGATAGGATTATGCAAGAATCAGAATATAGTCTTATAAGGTATATCCAAACTCGAGAACAAAAATGTTGCAGATGATCAGTCCCTAGAGGCAATGTTTTCTTCTTTCAGGCTAAGTACATTTGTTGCAAGTACAGACAAAACTCCTGTTGATCTTGCCAGAAATCCATTGTCCTTGCCACTGAACTGAAAACTCAAACAGTGTTATCAGCTTTCCCAGCTTTCTCCTGTGAACTACACAACCCCTCCTCCCCTATGTAATGGAAATGTGGAGGTGTTTGTATTCCAAACCAGGAGGGCAGTCAAGGGTGACAACGCTGCTCCTCTATAGATACAGTACAGTGAGGGAGTGTTGTCAACCAAGGACTGGAAGTGTGTTACTGGCAGGATCACCTGATGAAAATAAAGGATAAAGCCTGAAAGAAAAGAAAACTAATGCAGCCACCGCATCTACGGATCCGTGAGCTGCAATATAAAATAATTTGTCCTTGGGCTGAATACTATATTGTCATGCAGATGGGGCAGGTGTGACTGTAGTAACATCTTAATCTAATCTTTATGTACACAGCGACGGCAGCTGAAGGGCGGATGAGAAAAATAATGAACGCTACCATGATCAACCCAGAGAGACTGAAACAAGCTAAGCTACTGGTGGAGAAAGCAATTAAGGTCAGTAGAACGAGCTCAGTGCACTCTAAATAGAGAAGCGCAATCATTATTAATCGCCCGTTCTAGAAGAATGAATTACATTGCGGGGAATTTATCAAAACTGAAGCAGGCAGAATCTGGAGCAGTTGCCCAGAGCAACCAATCAGCTCCTCTCTTCAGTTTGTTCAGTTAAGATTTGAAAATGAAAGAAAGAATCTGATTGGTTGTCATGCACAGCTGCGCCAGGTTTTGTCTGCTCCAGTTTTGATCAATTCCCCTCATTGTCTTTAGGGCTTGTTCACACGATGTCCGGATTCTGTCCAGACCAGAACAGTTCGCTCCGGCACTAAAAACGCATCGCAATGTATCCCTGTGTGTTTTAGGCTGGGTTCACACCTAGGCGTATCGAATAGGCGGGTTTGTCGCGCGTTTCGTGCCGTACGTTTTTACCACGATTCACGGTAAAAAAAACGTGCGACAAACGCGCGTTTCCGAGGGCTACCTGGCTGTATCCCAATGGATACGCGCGGCAAATACGCCCCACAGAAGCTCCTGTACTTTGGGCGTAGGGCGTTTTGTAGCGCGTTCATACGGCCTGTAATACACCCAGGTGTGAACCATACCCATAGGAAATAATGGGATTTCGTCGTTTGAGCGTTTTGCAGAGCGTAGGAACGCGCTACAAAACACCCAGGTGTGAACCAGGCCTTATGGGCTCCAGTTCACACGAGCGCAGTGCTTTCTGTTCTGGACAGAAAAAAATACTGCTTGTCACATTTTCTCTGGTCCGGAATGTGCACGAACGCATCACAAACGCAAAACACGCCCGACACGCACTGCAGCTAACTGAAAAAAAAATAAAAAAATGTATTCTTGCTCCACTTTTGATAAAGGCTGGAAGTGACCTCAGAGCAAGAATCTGCATACTGACAGACCCCCCCCCCCCCCACAAAAACTGGAACACGCCT